GAAAAAGAAGAAGAAGAAGAAAAAGAAGAAGAAGAAGAAGAAGAAGAAGAAGAAATAGCATTTGTATAGCGCATATCCTCACTCGAAAACAAGCTCTATGTCCTTTACGCTAGTCTACCAGTCGGTAGTACGTGCAATTTCTACCTTGCCCTTAATTTTGTTCCAAATTTAGTCAAATAGTGCGCATCATAACAAACAGTGGGTGGGCAGTGGACACTAAATGCAATAATTAAATTTTCAAAAAGACAGAACTAAACAGTGGGAACAATTTACATTAGCTTGAAGAAATGATCAGAAAATGATTACACCCTTTGAAAATGTTATTCACTTTAGCAAACAATTTACAAAAGAAAACTGTTTTGCTTTTTTGCATTGTCTTTCAAATTTAGGTTACAACATTTCTATTACCATATATTATAATGACAATCAACTATAGAAATGAAAGAAACCCATCGTTTTCTGCTTACTTTGCTTATGTGCACGTTATAATTGTTTAGCTTGGGGTTTATTTCGCGGAGGAAGACACACGAAATGCACACTAATATGAAATGATTGTTTAAGAATTCATTAAAACGGTATGGTTTTAATGAATTCTTATATCATACACGAAGTTGTTTCAGCATTGCACTTCTGGTAAAATAAATCCTTATATTTCACTTGTGAAAAATAGGCCAAGGCTGATAATTTTTCAAACCTGAAATATAAGCAAATCTGCATAAATTACTCCGCGCAATATTTTCACCTTCTACTCCTATCTCTCAGACAGAAAATTATACACTGGAATCCTCATGTTCCTCCATCAACTACCGTCATAACCATCATTAACTCTGCCATCACCACATTCTCCCCTACCGTCACCACCACCAACACCACCACCACCTCCACCATCACCAACAGCAACAACAACAACAACAACAACTGCAATATCACCACCGCCAGCAACATCAGAAACAGTAACAATGGTAACAGCTAACATAATGCATAAAATGTAAATCGAAGCACGTCAATAAACTAACTAAATTCTGTTTAAAATATACCTGCATGGATTATCTTTTTATAAGATCAGACCTGCCAACTGCGAATTTAAAATCTCACCTGAAAAGACAAAAGATGAAGATGATATACAGAATGAGCTCAACCAAGATGCCGTTTGCCTGCTGTTGTTCCTTCTTCTGTTCGCGCATCTTTTCAATGACGTCTTCAGGAACTGGGTCAGGAGGAATTAAGTCTCGGCCTGAAAAAGAAGGACAAATGATACCGACAGTTAATGTTATTTTAAATTGTAGATAGATGTTTTAACACCCACCCCACCTCCCACCCCCATAGTAACATAAGAAGATTGCTTCATTCTTTAGTGTCCTTCTGTAACTTTCAGTTGATCTACCTCTTTTTCTTTTTTTCAGTTGGTCTCCAGTACTATTTGATTTGATAGGACAGTCTTTTCTCTAGCATACTCAAACCATGTCCTAAATATCCCTATTTTCTCCTTTTTATGGTCGTGTTAATATAAAAAAGTCAAACATTTCATTATTTCAGGTAAATTAAATCTATCTTATTATCTAAAAATTCCTCAAAAACGTTTGGTTTCAGAGGTTTTATATTTTCGTTGAGTCCCTTTGCTTGTTTTCAATATCACCGAACAGTATATCAGTACCGTGTCGTCAAATCACGACTGTTGTATATTGTTAATCATGTCTTCAGCGAAATGATATTTGAATTCTAGAAGTTTTTAATTTTACAAAAACTCCCACGTAATTTTAACGTTTTTTTGGACGTCGTCAATGCGAACTACAGTTTCGGGAGAATATGATGCTACTTGAATCGAAAAATTACTAACAAGCAAAATATATTTTACCGGTTCAACTGGTCCAAAAGAGATCTAATGTCAATCATGTAATTAATCAAAAAGGAATAAAGTATTTCGTACAACGAAACATAACAGACTTTAGAGCTATAGTATGGTGAGGCAAGCTGCCAAAATGAGTTACTTCTCGCAATAAAAAACAAACAAAAAACATTGGCCAAAAATCAATTTTAGAGTTACCTTTCTAGATTTTCCATTGATATCATGTTCTTAAAGTAATACATGCTTCTTTCTTTTTTTT